TTTATGCATTTTTGCATTCATGTGTGATTTTTTTTTTTGTCAAACAAAACAATACAAATAGTACATTAAACCTATAAAATTAAGCCTATAAGAACATTCTTCCTATTGACTGAGCTGGATGAGATAATACTGTTCCTGTTGTCATTGTCTGCCATAGTGGAGAAAGTTCAAAGAGCAAGTGTCAGTCGTACCTCGGTTGATGTTGAGGGACATGTAGTGTCTGGCTGGATGCTGTGGCAGGTGATTTAAATGAGAGTATCCATTCTCTTCTTCTGTATTCATATGCATTATCTGAGAACTTAATCCTGATTCAATAATGATCCTCTTAAAAGACAGACTGAATGATTTCTGCAGGAGAAGCAAAAAGAAATACAGAAAGAGGGAGGGGATAGGAGAATGAGTCACACTTCAAATGCCATAAGGCAAGATATTCATATTCAAGTGTTATATGTGACTCCTCCTTTTCCTCCCTCAGAGGGAACTCCTCTCTTCCCACCCATCACATCTCAGCCTGGGTCATGACATGAGTCTCAGTAAATATAGGGCTTAGTAGTTCCCCTCTTTTCCATTTAATCTTCCCATGATTTTAATCTCTTTTGAACTTGCCACATTTTAAAACAGAACAAACACTTTTTATTCATCTCAGAGGCAGACTGACTTCCACTCTGTGCCTTTTTCACCATTCAGTGTTAAGGGATAAAAATACAGGTGTCTGTATTCATCTGAGAGAAAAGTTCACAGCTGCAAATAGCTGGTGAAGCTATTTAATCACACAGAGGAGGCAGAATTGCTGTCCAGAGTCTGATGTCATCTTCTTCTTCTTCGAGAGAGAAGTGGGAAATCAGAGCATGGGAAAAAAAGACGAAGACAGGATTTAACAAATAAGAGAAGTGAGCTCTTATGGCAAAGGCTAACCACATACTGGACTGACCTAGCAAGACTGTATTTAACAGGGCAAAAGAGATGATGATTCTCTTCTCTCCATCACTTCTGAGTATGCAGCTGGGGTATTATGTCCAGCTTTGGGCTCCCCAGTAAAAAACAAACAAACAAACAAACAATGAAAAATCCATAAAACACATAAATACTAAAACTGGTCAAGGGCAGAGCCATCCAGATGCTTAGGAGATGGAGCACCTGATTTACAGGAACAGACTCTGACAACCAAATCTGTTCAGCCTGGAGAACAGAAAGCTAAGGAGAATCCAATTGCAGTCTCTCACTGCATAAAAGGGCTATGGAGAAGACAGAGCCAAACTCTCAGAGATGTACAGTGAAAGGACAAGAAGAAATGGTCATAAATTGCAGATGGGGTGGTAAAATATTGGAAGAGGTTCCCAGAGAGGGTGTGTCATCTGCATCCTTGGAGATTTTCTGAACTTGACTGGACAGGGACTGGAGTGATCTGATCTGGCTTTGAAATGAGACCTGCTGAGCAGGAGTTTGGACCAGATGGACTTCAGAGGTCCCTTCCAGATAGAATCTTTCCGTGACTCTGGAATCTGTGAGTATGGAGAGAAGACTCAGCATGATTTGTAGGGGAGAATCCTCAAGAGAACAGTAGTAGATCACCTGAAATAACAATTATCTGTTCCCCTTCCTTTTAACTTGGAGAGAGAAATTCAGAAAGTGAGAAAGAGACTGGATACTACTTTCTTTAGTAACTCAAATTCTCTGCACCACCCAGCTACAGTAGGAGCTCCTTTTTCTATTTGCTAAGCTTGGCTCTCATCTTGCTGGCCCTTGGGCACAAGTGCTGTGTGCTCTTCCTCTGGAAGTTCCCCTACCAGGAGAACATAGGATGTATTAAAGTCACAACGTCGAGAGAGAAGGTTCTGAAAGTTTGGCTCCTCACCTGCTGCCTCAGATTTTTCAGATGAGTAGAGGTTTATTTAATTTAACACAAAACGAATACAAAAACTGACCAAGTGAAGGCAGGGCCAGAGTGAAGGACCATGCTCCATGGACAGAATAATACCAACTGAAAGATCCTGTTAAGGACAGAAGGTACTGTTGGAAAGAATTGGTGGGCTTAGAGTGATGTGAATCTGTAGGGTGACAGTGAGATTGTGTCACTGGGAGCCTGTCATTAGAGATGCATGACATCAGACTTGTGTCAAGGAGTATGAGAACCCCCAAGAAAAGATGCATGGAAGAATCATGGTGTCCTGTGTCTTAAGTGCTGTTGTTTGAAAGGACTGAAAGTCATGTGGTTCAACCTCCTGTTCAGAGCTGGGCCAGCTTTGAACTCTGATGAAGTTGCTCAAGGATGTGTCCAGTCAAGTTCATGCAGTCCCCAAGGACAGAGATCTCCCATCCTTTCTGGATACCTGTTCCTGTGTTTGGCCATCCCCACTGTGAAGAATGTTCTCCTTCTGTCTAACTGGGGTTTCCCTTACCACAGTTTCTATTAGTTGCCTCTAGTAGTGCTCTGATCAGCCCTGGCAGAGTATGAATATGGGGACAAGATAGAGGGCTCCAAAAGAGCACTTGCTGATAAAGAGATGGTCCCATGTCTGCTGTTGTAACTGCACTCCTGGGCACCTTCTTGTAGTCTTTTAGTCCCCTTTCACTGATTTAAAAGCGTAACAGTGAAAGATATTATAATGGTTAAAGGTTTTAAGATTCTGATTTGAATAGAACAACCAGGGAAGGAAGATGAGCATCAAATTGGCTGACCTTCACAGAGAAGGGGTTATTTTTCTTTGTTGCTTTCTATAGACAGTGTCTGTGAATGCAGATTTGCACCATATTATTCAGCATCTTGCTGACAGTATGTTTCAGCCTGTGGTCACCGGCAAGGCTGAACCCGGTCCGGGGCAGCAGGTGTGCTGGTAACACGGGTGATCAAGGGCTTTGGGAACCCAGTGCAGGGCCTGGAGCAGAGAGGCTAGTGGGGGACGTGAAGAGGCACTGTCCAGCCAGGGTGTTTAGTTCAACTCTTTTATTTCTGAACCTGCTTTCCCCACGTCCATGAACTCTGCTTTTTCCTATCCAGCAGCTGACATTTGAGCTGCTCTCATTTCACTGTCCTGGTTATCTCATAGATGGTCAAGCTTGAAGCTGTCAAGCTTCTTCCACTTCAGAACAGCACTGCAGGGCTCATTCCCCCAGTGAATCCCTTTATTAACTTCACCCCTGTCTTCTTCACTGTCCATGTCCTGTTTGAAGCGATGTTGAAGTCAACAATTTTGCTTTAGTTCCCAATTCTTTCAAGATTTATGATGTCTCAGGCCCTACCAAGGGCTTTACTCTCACACTTAGTATACAACACTAAGTTTTATTTTCCATACAAAATGTGCTTTAAATTAAGCTCTTCTCTGGACTTCCCAGTGCGATGGAAAGTCTCCTATCTGGAGAGACAGTAGACCTCCCTAAGCAGCTTGTGTCTTGGGCTCCATGTGTAGGTAGTCAGGAGAACTTCAACAGCCTCTCAGACAGAAGGCAGACTGGGTGAAATAATGGATTTTCTTGAATTTTAAATGCTATATACTACAAATTCTCCCCTCTGAAATAAACCACTGTTAACAGGGAAAAAGCTCTTTCCAAGCTGCTGGGACCAAGATTTGTGCTGAGACCAAATGGAGTTTTCTATATGAAGTCATGGAAATAGTATATAAAGATTATCCAGCCATAGGAATGAAAGACATGTGCCCTGCAAGTTATCAGCACTGACCTGACCTTCCCGCAGTAATACACTCCCTAAAAAGTGACACCAGTCAGCAGAAAACCCAGAGGCTAACATTTGTTTTCACAATGCAGACACCAAACAAAGGTGTATAGCAGATTCCTAGAAAAAAAATCAAGAGTTAGTTTATGGGAAGAAAAATGGGTAAAATGTGGCAGCTGAGATGCCTGGAAATGAATTATTTTTTTCAGGTTGAAAGGTTGAAACAGATGAAACACTTCCTACTGCAATAGTAAGGAATTCTAGATAGCTCAACTGGTACTTGTGCCCATAAACTGAGTCTTGGCTCTACTGAGTATAGTGAATTTATTCAGCTTGCAAACATCTTTTGGCACATTAGGAAAAGGGGTTATTTTTTTTTTTTAATTTTTTTTTTTTTTTTTTTTATGCTTTGAGAATATTTTCCAAGGAAATATTGAGTATTAAAGACATATGATTATTTTTTCATTTATTTTAAGGACTGTCTCCAAACACTAAGGCATACAAATACAAGGTACATCTATACAAGGAATATATGCTTATGTTATACAACAGATTCTGACATAGAATACTTCAAAGAACTCATGCGATGAAATTCCACCCAGAAAAGTAGAGACATATTTTTCCTTCAAGAAGTATGGCAAGTGCTTTAATAACACATTATGCATAGTGTGTACCTTCAACTCCAGAGATCCCAAACAGTGTGGATATAGTACAAGAGCTCAAGTAAGATTTGTGGCAATGGATTCTGCATCAGTTTGAATACTGATTATGTGTAGCTCTGAGTGAAGCATGGATTTATTATCCTCCCTGCTATTTGCATGGCAATTAATGTTATGGTAGCACTGAAGTTATTCAGGTAATGTTTTGATCCAGCCATGACATTTGACTCAACTTTTCACAGAGGTTGCTTCCAGGGATTCCCTGTAGTCTTCTAAAAAATGTCCTTTTGTTTCCATAAATATTAATGCATAAGTGAAAAGAATTTTATGGATGAATAGAGCCATGTGTTCTTTCTGTATCCCTATACCTCAAACAGGGGAACAGCTGGAAGAACAAGGCTTGCCTAACCAAACTGGTCTAGAGGAGGACTATGGGTGGATGGTAGTTAGTGTAGTGTGTGCAGTAAGCGTTTCAGTGAGTAAAATCATCAGGGGTGTAGTTGGACTGGTTTATGACCGTCAGGTGTTAGTGTAAAATGCTGACTAAAGCTCCAGAAATACAGAGATCTGTGAGAATGTGTGGCTGTCAACCTGGAGGGTCACTGCTTGCCTGTAGCTAATTCTTCCAAGTTGTTTCCTAGGCCCATAGTGTTTAGTTTTGTGGTTTTTTGATCTCTCTCATTTGTGAGCCTGGGAGAGAAAATGCAGGCAGAGAGAAATATTTAGTCTCTAATGATCTGTCATTTGAATCACCATTCTGAGAAAACTGCTTGGTAAACAAACAAAAATAAAAATATATTTAAAACTTCCAGTTCCTAAAGTTGGTATCTCACACTGGCAGATCCCACATCCCTTCTTGCAATGCTTCTTCAGGTGAAATGAACGGCCACTTTCTCACAGATCCAGAATTGCTTACTTGAACAGGGCTGTGTAGCATAAATAATCCATCCATAGAAGGAGGCACAGAAGATGTTGTCATATAACACAACCCTAGGAAATTAAAATACATGGGTTAATAATGTCCCAGTGACTTCATGTGATCTATATTTGGACCATTTGTAATCATACTGTTTTGCCACTGGAATGCAGAATTATTTCCCCTTTGGAGCTATTTTATTTAGCTAGGTGGTCCTTTCGAGTCTGGTGCCTGTGACTGAGATGTACTTTGCCAGCCATTGTTCCTTATACAGGACACAAATCTGGAGCTCCACAGCAGATGCTATGGTCTCCATGCTCCTTTGTCATTGCACACGTGACAAACATGGGAAAGTAAGAGGAAGCACAAATTTTGTATAATTTACTTGGCCCATTGGGTAGAACTACACTGGTCCTAAGTTATGAAATCTTACCAGTTTGTTGTTTCTCTTGAAAAAGCTGTTCCATCCTCCCAGTACCAGCCACCTCTTTCAGATATGTAGGATAATCCAACCCAGTAAAACTGTGAATCGTGCGGCAGAGAAACCTGTAGGTATGGGAAAATCGCAACAATATTTAAAAAAATAAGACCCAAGTCCCTGTATTTTCCAGCTGTGAAAGTTCTGCAACCAAGGGAGATAGTTCTTTCTCAATAGCAGAGTAACATTGTCCATGCTTGTTTTCCATGAGGCAGTGCTGACTGCTCTCACTATAGGATCATTCAGATACTATTGTTTATTTATTTGCCACAAGACAAGTATACCCTGGATTTGTAAAAACACTGTTTTTTAAAGGAAAAAAAAAGAAAGAAACTTTATTTGGTCTGCCTTTAGATATCTACACTGCCTTTAGATATCTGCAGTTTCGATATCATAGAATCATGGAATCACACCATGGTTTGGGTTGGAAGGGACCTTCAAGGATCATCCAGTTCCAACCCCCTGCCATGGGCAGGGACACCTTCCACTAGCCCAGGTTGCCCAAAGCCCCGTCCAACCTGGCCTTGACCACTGCCAGGGAGGGGGCAGCCACAGCTCCTCTGGGCAACCTGTGCCAGGGCCTCACCACCCTCACAGTAAAGAATTTCTTCCCTATATCTAATATAAATCTACCCTCTTTCATTTTAAAACAATTACCTCTCATCTGTCACTACATGCCCTTGTAAAAAGTCCCTCCCCATCTTTCTTGTAATCCCCTTTAAGAACTGGAAGGCTGCTCTAAGGTCTCCCCAGAGCCTTCTCCAGGCTGAACACCCCCAACTCTCTCAGCCTGTCCTCACAGGGAGGTGCTCCAGCCCCTGATCATCTTCATGGCCTCCTCTGGGCCCACTCGAGCAGGTCCATGTCCTTCTTATGTTGAGGACCCCAGAGCTGAATGCAGCACTGCAGGTGGGGTCTCGTGAGAGCAGAGTAGAGGGGGAGAATCCCCTCCCTTGACCTGCTGGTCACATTTGTCTTGATGCAGCCCAGGATACATCTGGCTTTGTGGGTTGCGAGCACACATTGCCAGGTCATGTTGAACTTCTTGTCAACCAACACCCCCAAGTCCTTCTCTGCAGGGCTGCTCTCAATCCACTCCTCGCCCAGCCTGTGTTTGTGCTTGGGATTGCCCAGACCCATGGGCAGGACCTTGCACTTGGCCTTGTTGAACTCCATGAGGTTTGCACGGTCCCACCTCTCCAGCCTGTCCAGGTCCCTCTGGATGGCACATCCCTTCCCTCCAGTGTGTCACTGCACCACACAGCTTGGTGTCATCGGTGAACTTGCAGAGGGTGCCTTGATCCCACTGTCCATGTCACCAACAAAGATGTTAAACAGCGCCGGTCCCAACCCCGACCCCTGAGGAACGCCACTCCTCACTGCTCTCCACTGGGACATGGAGCCATTGACCGCAACTCTCTGAGTGTGACCATCCAGCCAATTCCTTACCCACCGAGAGTTCCATCCATCAAATCCATGTGTCTCCAATTTAGAGACAAGGATGTGGTGTGGGCCAGTGTCAGATGCTTTGTCCAAGTCCAGGTAGATGACATCAGTTGTTCTTCCTTTATCCACCAACACTGTAACCCCATCATAGAAGGCCACCAAATTTGTCAGTCATGATTTGCCCTTAGTGAAGCCATGTTGGCTGTCACCAATCCCCTCCTTATTTTCCATGTGCCTTAGCATAGTTTCCAGAAGGATCTATTCCATGGTCTTGCCAGGCACAGAGGTGGGATATAGATAAACTGTTTCTCCACTTTCTGTTTTGTCTCTACCCATCTGATTTTCACTTAAAAAAGTAATACAAAAGGCCTTGAAATGAAAGAGTTGAGAACCTCCATATGAAGCTAACTCCATCTGGAAAAAGGAAAGAATTTCCAGGGAAACTTGTTTACTTTTAAAAGTCTTATATAGCAAAAAGAAAATAAGGATATTTGGGATTTCTGTAAACTCAATAGCTGTTGAAAAAGTGGTTCCCAGATATGTGTGTTCAAAAAGGGAAAATATGGTCTTGATAGCAAATTACAGATTTTTCATTAGTCAGAAAAAAACCCAACCAAATTAGTAAGACTACGTAAAAATATTAATTCCCTAAACCTTTTTCAGTCATCATAATATAATCCACTGCTGTCTAGCCTTTGTGCCGTCATTGACACCACTCTGTGAGGATATAACACAAGGTCAGAAAAAAAACCCTTTTATAGTCACTTTGAAGTGTAGCATGCAAATAACAGCACCATGGTGAACTGGCCACTCCCTGGATTTCATGTGGATGTGGGTTTGACGCTGGGAGCCCTCAGTAACAAAACTTGTGGAAAGAGATAATAAAAGCATTCATTCTGTGTGCTGGGCCTCTCCTCTATGCTGGTAATATGCAATTTGTTTTCTCTGTGAAAACCTAAGTATTATCTAAATAAGGTATTTTGTACAATGGCTTATTCTAGTTCTCATAGTACATAATTTCACTATTTCTCACAACACGTAATTTAGAAAGTGTTGCAAGTGATGACAACCTTGTGACTTACAGGAAGGCAACTTGACTCAGAGTAAATTAAATATATGCCCTGTAAACGACCAAAGTATTTTTTTTGCCTGCAAGATTGCTGGAAGTCAAAAAATGTGACATGAAGGAAAGCATGAGTTTAAGACTGTACCATCTTTGCTTTGTCTTTTAGCACAAGAAGAGTGGAGTTTCTTGAGGAGCAGAACTCCTGGCTTTGCTTCCATGTTTTCTTCTGCTTTGAAATGTAGAAGCAGTTGTCAGCTCCACTGCTTTGCCAGCTTGCTGGGCACAGAACACATTTTGTTTCTAGAAATCAGAGAGAGTATTATGCAGACCTGTGAGGAATAGAGAGGCTTTAGCTACTGGGTTGACTGAGAAAAGAAGATTAAGGGTAGCCATGAATCAGCTGAGCTCTTGAGGGGTGAGACACAGGTTGTTTTGCATGTTAGTATACACATATCCACATCTCAAATACTTCCACAGTTTAAAACAGAGACTAACCGATCACATCTTTTCCCTGGTGATTTATAGTCTCTCAGCCAATGGGCTCTGAAAAGGGGGTGATTTGTGTTTATTTACATAACAAACACATTTACCGTTTTTCTCCTTCCCTTCAAAACACAATGCTTCTCTCATTTCCTGCAGTTTCTTTCTTTCCTCGGGATCCCTGGAAACCTGAAAAACTGAAGGGCATGAAAGTGTTTAACAAAGATTTTTTTTTTTTTAAATGTAGCTTTAATTTGTAGCTTTTAGCATTCTTTTGGGTTTTTTTGTCTACTTCATGTGTATGTCCAAATGTTGTGTGTACATCATCTGCATTTTCTTCACCAGGAGAAAGTGCAGCACTGGAAAAGGTCACCTGGGCAGGTGGGTGCATCTCTGCCCTGAAAGATTTTTCAAAAAGCATCTGGACAAAGATATGGATGAATTTATCTAGAATTGATGACAGGGCATCTTTGAATGGTGGGGAGGAGAGGGTGGCTGTCAGACTTAGAATCCTGAAGGATTGCCTCTGTGATGCCATGGACCACGCTGAGTGCTTGTCCTAGGCACTGCAACTGCTTCCCTCCTGCGAAAAAGCAGCTGAGGACTCTGTCTGTGCTCCCAAATGTAATGTGGCATCACCTTTGGTTTTTATTTGAAATGTTTCTGTGGAAAATCTGCCCTAATCATGGGGCAAATGCATCAGTCACAATACTTTAACGCCGGGATTGCCCTCCCTGCAAAAAGTTTACAATCCCAAGAAAAAGGGGGAGCTGTAACTGTGAAGTGTTCCGGTAACAGTCACAGGGGGGCACCATTACCCAGGTAGTGGGGCTGACGAGGCGAGCTCCTGCGTGTGAAAACAAAGTCTTTCAGAAACGGGTGAGAGTTAGGGATTTAGGGTAAGTGTTAAGGGTATAGGTTAGGGTTGGGGTCAAGGTTAGGGTTAAGGTTGGCGTTAGGGTCATTATGATTAGGTCTAGGGTTAGGCATTAGGTGTTAGGGTTATGTTTAGGGATATAGTTTAGGATTAGGGTTGGAGTTAGGTTTGTGTTTAGGAATAGGGTTTGGGATTAGTTTAAGCATTAGGGTCATAAAGGTTAGGATTAAAGTTAGAGGGTTAGGTCATTATGATTAGGGCTAGGGTTAGGCATTAGGTGTTAGGGTTATGTTTAGGGGTATAGTTTAAGATTTGGGTTGGGGGTAGGTTTATGTTTAGGGATAGGGTTAGGGCTTACCTTTTAGTGTTAGGGTCATAAAGTTAGGGGGCTTAGTGTTAGCATTAATTTAGGGGTTAGTTTTGTGGTAAGGGTTAGTTAGGTGTAGGTCTTGCATTAGGATTAGTGTAATCCTTAGGGTTAAGGTAACTATAAGTGCAGATATTAGTGATGCTGAGTGACCTGAGCTGACACTCAGCCATGGGGGTACTTCTGTGGGAGAGCTGTACTGTTGCCCTTATTGCTGTATAATTTACACTGGGGAAGCAGGAACACCAGGAATCCGCAGGGGGAGAAGAAGCAACTGTATGTCTGGAATTCCCTCCCACAGCTTGGGACACCATGGTACTTACAGAGGGCCAGCAGGGCTACCAGCCCCATCAGCAGCACCAGGCACAAAGCGAGGAAAGCAAAGGCCACTGGTCGCCATATGGAAGATGAGGCAGAAGTTCCTGCGACAAACAAAAAACCCATTCAGCAACAAAACCAGCAACTGTCCTCACCACACAGTGGCATTACCTCCCCTTTGACAACACCAATTCACCTTTATCCCTTCTTCAGAGCCTCTTCTTTTTCTTACTGCAGTTTGTTATCACTGTTCTGAATTTCCTGAAGTAATTTTGAGAAAATATCTATTTATCCACCGAGAATAATTATTATAACTATTTATTAGGCTTTAGTGTTTTAGAGTAAAACATCTTCCCATGAGACAGGTAAACAGATTAGATTTTGCAGTTCCCACAGTCCTGGAAATAATAAAACAATCTCTAAGTCCTCCACCTTGAAAAAGAAAAATTACCATCTAGATTTGGATAACCACCTAGTTTTGGATAATTACTTCTGGAACCTGTGATTGGGATGTCGGAATGATTGAGAAGTTTGAACATTAAACTGTGTATCTTTCTTCAGGCTCTTTCTCCGAATTTCCATTGTGGTTCAATGTCTAATCAGGAATATAGTTCTCCAGGATTTTACAGCTGAATATCCTCTGATTGAAATATTTTCTTTTGTATATATATATATATATATATATATATATGCATTTCCCCCATTTGGGAACCAGTGCTCTGCATTTTTCTATAATACACTTTCATATCTATTCTAGAGTGTTCAGGTTAATTGAAAAGTATTACCTGCATCAAGTATTTTACTGCAGTCCAGTGCATCAGAACAAGCACCTCCAGGGAACTAACTTTTTGTTAGGTGAGAAGAAACACCCTCCAGAGGTGCCCAGAAGTACAGATGGATTTGGCGACTAAAACTCACACGATCAAAGTTAAGGGAGACAACCCTAACCTGCACCAGTTAAACATAATTTGAAGAGACTGCAGGTGGCAGCACACTGGGGACAAATGCCCAGAGAGGTTGTGAGATCTCCATGCTTGGAGGTTTCCAAAACTCAAGTGGGAAAGGCCCTCAGAAGCTTGATCAGACTTTAGAGCTAGCCTTTTTGAGCAAAAGATTAGAAAAAATGAACTATAGAGGTCCATCACAACCTAATTTGGTCGTAAGTCTATCTACTATATATGTTCTCTATGTGTATCAAAAGGCCATTTTAAGAGTTTTCTGAGTGTGCCACCCTGTTTCTTTCTGGGAAACTCTGCCCCTAGATCACACTCCCTAATATTTTATCTTTGATTTTCTGGTTGCTGCTTCTTAACAGCTTCTCCTTCATCTTCCTTGTCAAGTAGTCATTCTCCATGAATACCCTACATCTTTTCCAGACAGCGCCAGAGTGTTGTTAATTTAGTATTTGTCTACTGTAGCCAACCTGCAAAGAGCAGCAATGATATTTATTTCACACATAAGCCATTTGTTGATTTATGAGCAGCAGCAACAGTACTCAAGTCATCATTTATGGACTCAGGCATTCCACGGGCACAGTCCACTACCTTAGATAGCACTCTGCTTGTTTATAGAAAAGCTTTGAGTATAAAGAAATAAAAATATATACTCCTATCAGAGCTTACATTCCCCATTAAGACCAATAAACAGGGCACCTTTCTATTCCCCAGAGCTGAGGAAATTGCTTCCCTTTCCAAGGCCTGCATTATCGGATAAAACTATAGTGCCTTCATCTCATGCCATGCTGCAATAAATCCTAGCAAAAAGAAGAATCCACAGAAAGGCAGAATTTGTCTTCTGTGTTGAAGTAAATGGAAAAAATACCAGAGTAAAGATAGGCTTGAGAAAAAAATATCACCTGTGATCATAAACAGTAGCACACAAGACTCCATCATAATTATTCTTTGTGCTGTTTCTGTGAACACCTATCTAAGAATATACTACAAAGTTTAGAAGGATTCTAAAGAATCAACATGAACATGGAAATTTAAATTATTCCCTGATTTAAATCAAAAAGATAATGTCCATCTGTACTTACTGTCTACTGTATCACAAGGGGCTGGAGCCTTAAATGCAGAGCGTTTGTTTCTGTTGGAATATCCAGGAGTAACAGCTGAAGCTGAGGGTCGCAAATTTAAAGCGGTGTAGCCTTCCTCATCCTCCATGTCGAGCTCGTCACCCTTTCCCACACCAGTGACACGGCGGGAGTAGGGACACACTGCAGCGAGACCAATGTCAAGACGATGAGAATGGTTTGCGTTTCAGCGCTTCCAGCAAAACCACGGAGGAAGCTGGCTCTGTTCTGATTACTGTGTCATAGTAAAAGTGTAACATATTGAAAGCACATTAAGGTGAGACCAACGAAGAGGGGTATTTTCTTCCTGACTGTGAAGACAAGGAGTCTTGGTTCCTGACTGGAACCTAAGGCTGTTTTATTTAAACTATCCACCTGATCTGGCCCCATACATAGACCAAACATCAGGATTTTCTACCTCCTTATAGAAGATGCGCTAGAAATAGTTGGTCTTTTGAGTTAAGCTGTGAAAGATATTCTGCTCCTGTCTCAGGACACAAATTCAACACAACAGCTGCACGGAAAGCAACAGGCTCCATTTCCATGCAGTGCTATGAAATGAATGAAAACTGGAATTATTTTATAGAAATCCACTGAAATAAAGGAGAAGGGGAAAAGCTGAGCTGAAGGGATGGTGAGGCCAGGAGCTTGGCAGGATTCACGTGACCTCTCGGCCCATATTGGAGAAAGACCAGGCTACACCGAGGGCCTCTGTGCGGTAGAACTGTACACAGACGTCACTGTCAGGGGTGGCTTATCCATCCCCACTCTCCGTCTCGAGCTCTCTGCACTGCCCCGCTCCAGCGATGAGCTGTAGTTGTTAACGTTTCAGTGACCAACAGAGCACTTTCCCAGGCACGATGAGTTGTGTGATGGTGGCGGGCTCAGCCAGCAGAGAGTTGCAAGAGAGGAACTTCTGTGGTAGCTGTTCCTGCTCTTGTGTGTAAAGTTGAGAGTTCCCCTTCTGCAAAATAATATCAACAGACTGGAAATGCGCTCTAACAACTGGGTTATTCTTCCTGCCTTGCTGTGCAGAGGACAGATGTGTTCAGAGCAGAAGTGTCTCTGGCCGCATGTTTATCTTTCATTATATCTTACCTGTATGCAGAGAGAAAGCATGATGGCAAAGCTGGGAGTAAAGGGTGCTTACTGTCGGTTTTGTTACACCGGAGGGCACACAAGGAGTAGCAGTCATGGTCTATTCATGGTGTATCTGTAATACCCTCATAAAAACCTCATGCTAAATACGGTGCCAAAAGGGCTTGTCTGTCGGGCCTGACAACTGTACGTTGGCACCTTAGTGCAGAAAGGGCTTTACTGCAGATAACTGGGAGTGAAGTGTGTCTATACTGCTGAATTCTGTTGTAAGTTTTCATGAGAGTAACCTCTTCAGCCTTAGTGAGAACTTCTCAAGCATGTAATGAATCACCTTTGGGGAAAGTTTTCACCAAGCTGATTTTACTGGGGAGCTTCGTCATCATGCTCTCCATTCTGGTAGAGATCCAGGGCAGGCAAAGTTTCTAGTTCCTTCAGACTCAAATGAAAAGAAAGGTGAACTAAGGCGGGGAGTTTGGGTCTACCTTTGAACAGAGCCTGTGTATAGGTGCTGTCAGCAGGCTGGACAAAACAGCTGTATTTATTAACCAGAATGTGCCCACCACATTGCATTGGCTGGAGTCCATGGCTGGGGTTGGGGGTGCGGGGAGGAGTGGAATTTAGACATGGGGAACACGCTGTTGTCAAGATCTGTGATTCCAAACTGCCATCTCAACCAATGCACCAACAGTGTGCTTCTATGTCGCCTTCCCTGTAAGGAAAAGCTCTTTCTGAAGGAAAAGGGGATGCATCAGATGGCACATCCTTAGGTCCTGCCTGGTTACACCAGGACCAGGGAATGTCCTTTGATGGTTTCAGCCTTGCAGGAGGAGGTTGTTTGCTGCAGCGCTCCCAACACCTGCGGTGACTGCTGGGACACTGACTCCTGTCTGTCTTCCCTGGGGGTGATTTTTTCTTTTTTTTTTTTTTTTTTTTTTTTTTTTTTTTTTTTTTTCCCTTATCTTTCTTGTTTAGCTTTCCTGGCAAATTACAGCAAAGCCTTTCATTATCAAGAATGGCCACACCATAAACACATTCAAGATACCTCTACGTGAGATTTCATATTTCAGTGCAGCTGGTATGAATGCCGAGAGACACTCTGGGAAGTCACCAGTGCTGTGTCTGCACTACAGGACAGGAGCACGCTGCATTTTCACCTCCAGAGACAGGAACAGCCAGGAAAGCAACTGACAGGAGCAACAACCAGGAGAGATTACGTTAGAGATGCAAGTGGTGAGTGAAAGAGCAGAAACAAAGAGCAATTCACTAAGATTTTCAGAGCATGAGATTGTTGTTTGAAAGTGACACCCAAAATGTTCATGTTGATGATCAGAAACTGCTGCGTAGTGCTATCAGTGAGGCACTAGAACTAGAATTACTCATTCTTGAAGGGGCTGACTAACGTTTAGCAGCCCACCTGCTAAGCCAGTGGTGGGTGATCCAAAATAAATAATCTGGGATACAATCCACAAGGAATACACAAGTCTCTAGAGGGGACCAAACTAGGAATTTGTGGGCTTTTAGCTCAAATCAAAACAATGTTATGGGACTGAGATTTTTGGTTTGAACCTGACTGTCGTTGTACCGAGCTGTGGAGGGAGACATAAAAGAAGATTCTGCTCATGGCTCTGACTGAACCCTAGCGTATGTCTTGCAATAGATCAAAAAAATAGAAAATTAGAAAAGTAAAAAATAGAGCAGAATTATTACGAGGAAGAAAAAAGAAAGAGGAAAAAAAAAGAGAAGAAAATAAAATGGAACCTACAGTGCTAGGAAGAACCATAAAGCATGGAAGAGACCTAGACATGCACAGCAGAAGGGCCCCTTCTCCTGTGCCACTTGCACAAGCCCTCGGAGGACTATGAATCCTAGAGCAAATATGAGTATTAATACAGTGAGGAACACTTTGGCCACCTTCTGAGGATGAGAGTGTTTGTGTGTTGTACACTCCAGGCCACTAGGGTATTAAAGCAGTCAGAGCAAGAAGACATCAGTAGTGTTTCCTGAATGGAAGGGTTTAATCCTCATCACTTGTGTTACAGCTGTACAGGTAAGAACTGACAAGTGGTATCAGGACAGTATCAGCGGATTCTGGGAGAGGAGCAGTTTCTTTTACGTGTTTGCCTTGTCACTGTGCTTTTTTCCTGGCCACCGCTTTTGGCCATTTTGTCCATTACGTGTGCTGGTTAAAAGTGAGGAATCGTTTGGCAGTTTTATATCTGGAACAACAGACTTGCGTGGCTCCTGGAGCCCGTCACCATGCCCATTTCTGTGGTATGAAGGTATTTTTATATGTGTCTAAAAAGGAATGAAAACAGGGAAATGTATTAGTCCAATCCAACATACTAAAAAAAAAAAAAAAAAAAAAAAAAAAATCCAACCTTGCAGAATGTGTTCTAGCTTCTTGTCATCATTTTGGTCTGACAAACCAGTCCTCCTGCCAATGGCTGTTACCTCGCTGTAAATGGATGGCGGGCTTTTCACAGATATAGTGAAGCTGATCTGTACAGTACCTGGTACTTATGGAATCATAATAAGGATAATATGAACATTCTTGGTTGGAGCTTGCATACTTTACCCTAGGAAAGAAAAGTCTTTATTGTTCCATCTCACCTCATTCAAATGGTGCATCCTTGCCCCTTCCCAAAAGAGCCATCTCTGCAAGAATTACCTACGTGGGTTACACGAAGAATATATACCCCCAACAGAGAAATAAAGCATTTAGTGACATCGTGCACCAAATCCTAGGAGGCTGACTCCATCCTGAACATGGCAACAAGCACCTCCAGCAGACTCTAAGTGCATCCTAAACCATTTCTTGTACCTGACAGTAAGAAACACTAACTCCTGGTACTGCTGGAAGGGTGTCAATGGCTGCTTCAACAGAAATGTTGAAAGGACACTATCCAATAACGGAAAGGAAAATTAAGAAAGCACAGACAAAGATGTATTGTGTTTCTGAAATAACATGTTAAACTGAAGTGAAATGGGTCTACAGATTCAATAGTGTCTTATATAACAATAAAAAAGTAGAAAACCAGAAGTATGACATGAAGCACCTTTCTGTTGCAGTTTTTTCCTGCAGTTTTTTCCTGAAACTAGATGTCAAATACAACTGAGACATATGACATTTATGGTCAGTCTGAAACTCAACTGTGGAAATAAACTTTGCTGGTACTTTCTTTTTGGCCCCGCAATAGTGTCTAGATCACCATCCCAGCAGTTCGGGGTGAAGCCAAAAAAATTTGAAACGTATAAATAAGACGCAGAATACAGAGAAAGCTGCATAGAAGCTGGCTGCTCAGTGTGTCCTTTGTGTCAGAGAAACTGGGAGCTGAGTGTGGGTAGGACCAAGTTCATGGACTGTGGGAAAGCTGCCCACTTACCAAGACTTCTGTTCTTCTGTAAGACGTGTGTTGTCTGCCCAATACCAGTCTTTCTGTTCAGCTCTATATGTTAATCCAACCCAGTAATGTTTTCTGGGCAATTTTTTTACCAATTCCTATGGAAAGTAAGGACAATTCAAAACAGATATTCAGGAAGATATTAAAAATAAATATTACACTCAGAAACCGAAAACATTGATGGAAAGTTCTTAAGGCACATAAATACCACAAATCTTTAACCTGTCAGGACAAGTTCTGTACTGGAAGGGTAAGCCTAACATCAAAGGAGAAATGAGAGTAGAGCTGGTTTTAGTTGGAGAGAAGATAGACTTCTAGCTCTGAAGAGCAATGTCACCCTCATCAATCTGATTTAAACCCTCTGGGTCACCTTCTGGATCATTCTCCCCGTTTTAGTGATGAGTCCTTCCTCCCCCTTTACTCTGTCCTTAGCATTTGTCAGCAGAGAAAAGGAAGAGTCTGCAGGGAGCTCCTGGGTTTCATTTGTTGAACCTTCACATTTGGCTCTACCATCACTGACTTATTGCCAGAAGCTGGACCGTGACAAGGAGAAGGAACCTTAAAGTTAAGCACTTAGCGATATTCTGTTCTTAAAAAACGCTCTGAAACACACAGGTAAGAATGTAAACCTCTGCAATGCTGCCTTTCTCACTGTTACTTGAGGGAAATCTCTGAAGATTTGAATTCTAGTTTTCTGTTGTTCTCTTTCTTCCTTCACTTACCATGGTCACACCCAGGGCACTTCTCCGTTTTCTGTTTTTCCTCATACCTCTCTCTCTCAGTGCCGTGATTGAGACAGCTAGAACAGACTGCACCTCACAAGCTTTGCTGTCACCACTTTGGGAACGTGAGAATAAAGCTGCTTCCCTTTACTTGTGGGAGATTCCTTATGGCCTGCAGCTCAGTGAGAGGGGAACTGGCATGTGCCGAGTGCTGGGGAGCAGGCAGGCCCACCCGTGACTCTAGGTCTTGGCGGATCTTTTCTGCCTTCGGTCTTCAATATGTCTGCTGGCACGCAGAGGCAAAAGCAGGATTTCACTCGACACCTGGCGTTTTCTCTTCCCACCTCAGTTTGTTGTCATGTACTAAAAGGTTAGTCCACATTTCAGCAACTTGCTGCCAAGTGTTTTCACTTTGATTAAAAAGATGAGATCAAGTTTTGTGGAAAGAACTTCTACAAAATGGGGAGGGCTATGGTTTGTGTGTGGGAAGAGCAGGTTAAAAGAAGTTTTCGCATTAGCATCTTCCCAAATCCTTGTATGGATCTGTAATACTTGTGAAACTAGTGAGAACATTGCCCGCAGCAAAACAGCCATGAACCCGCTTTCACCAGTCCTCCCAGTTTGAAGGGCTGTGCTTTGTGTGGCGATGACCTTAGCACTGCCCAGGACAACCTACTCACTGTAGAAAATCTCCTGCTCACAGAGCCATTTAAGAAAACTCTGTGTGAGGTGCGGAGCTGACAGGGCGCATGAACTTCATCCCTGCTAAACAGAGTTAGAATCCGGTCCATACCCGCTTTGCCGCATCTTTTATCAGAAGAAGAGTAGAGTTTTGTGAGGAGCAAAGCTGGTGACTCTCTTCTGACGTCTTCGTTTCCTCAGAGATATAGTAACATGTATCTCCACCTTTCCACTTCCAGTTTGCAGGGCAGAGAACACAGTTCTGGCCTGGAAATGGAAAACCATCATGTCATTTCTGTTCCCAGGCTGTCCCTCACAGAACATCACTGTGGCCTGTGACAACAAGATCCGTAGGGACTGAGGATATCTGAGACAGTCCTCATCCAGTGGGAATCCCACTGTGGTCCCACAAAGTTCAGGTAATGACAGAGATGCAACCTGAGTCATCCCTTGTCTCTCCCATTCCTTTAGCACTGGGGGGAGGTTCAGGTGTTGCAAACGGGATTTATTTTGCCTCATTTTAGGAGTCTACAAAGTCAACACAACTGGATTCCCATTTTCGTCAATGGACAGAAATAAGTGTGTCTCACGCGTCCTTTTCCTGTCATTTCAGGTGTTTTTCTTGTCAGGAAGCAGACTGTGTGCTTGCACTACCAATTTCTCTTCATTGACTAAGACAGAGACCTCAAATTTAGCTTGTCTCTCCAACAATATCCGGACAAATGAAACCCCTTTCCCGACAGGCACAATAGGATCCCTGTGCCCAACGCCCCTGCTCCTCACAGTAGCTCCTTGTCAGATCTCACTTAAATTACTGAGCTTGGCAAACCGCTTTCAGAAGCAGCCCTGCACTGCACACAGTCAGGAGACAGGGAGTGAGCTCCCAGCTTGGTTTAGCCTTGCTCCACCACACATCACTCCTGACTTTAGGAGATTCCTCTGTGTCGACTGAAGTTTATATAGAGTGCAGTAAGTCCTTTAATTCTCAGGCACCACTGTAAAATGGTCTATGTGGTGCAGGTGAGCATATTGTGGAGGTCCCTGAACTAGTGCTGAGGGAACTGTCATGTCTAGAAGGCATCTCGCAGAACCCTTTTCTTAGGGAATCTAAACCCTGAACCCCTGATGCCCCTGCCAGGTCCCACACCCGTGCACATATGGCCGGGCTGGGCACCTCTCTCTGGGCGCTGCGGGAGGCAGACACGCTCATTGCCTACGTGTTGGTGGTCACATCTGAGGAGACACAGGCTCACCTTGGGAGACAGACCTGAGTTAGACCCAGAAGACCCATCTCATTTCCTTCCCTGCCATGCTGAAAGATAACCCCTCATCAAAACGTGTTGATTTACCATTATTTTTAAGGCCTTCTCCCGCTTCCAAGCAAAGCTGATTTCCTATTTCTTGCAGCATCTTTGTGAGATTTACATGCAGCTCATTCTTTGTCATGTTGAGGTCTCTAAGTTGTGTTTTGTAGTCCTTGGCAATCTGGAAAACTGAAATTCACAATGAGACATTTTCCAGTTCTGTCCTTCTGAAAAGGTGGGATGCAGATAGGGAATCTCTTACTAGATCATTAGGAATAAATAAACCATTTGGGATAAATGTTATTCCTCCTAGAAGAGTTGCACGTAAGGGCTGCTGAGATAGGGACTGTTTGCATAGTGGATTTCTTATTAATTGGCTGTGAGTGAACAACAAAACAGAAGTGACACCTTTTATCATCTATTTCCAGTGTGCATCTTTCTCTTATATTGGTTTCCAAGCTGTGTTTTTTTCCTAAAAAGATGAATTTCAGCTCTGGATCCCAGTGGGATTTTGACAGATAGGAGATAATGGGCACAACCTGTTTACTGTGACACAAAACTTCTCCCTTCAGATCCAGCATTATCAAAGAGGAATTCACTCCATCGTTAGTCAGTACAGCAGGACTGTAGATACATTTTTTTAGGAGGCCAGAGAATGGCAGCCAGAGTGAGCAGTGAATGTCCTACTCCACCCCTTTCCAGCTCCCCTCCACGTTGCTCATTCTTAGCCTCATCACGTTGACAAGAGGACAAAGATGCTGTGGCAAGGGGAAATGTCCGGTTTGCCTGGTTGTCTGTTGTCAGCTGCACCAGAAATTGCACCTGAAGGAGATGTCAGTCTGATGTTATTCAGTAGCTTGAGCCCCCCAGCAAACAGAAAAGCTTTAGTACTTACATAAAACTGCCAGGGCCACCAGCGCCATCAGCAGTGCCAGGCACAGCGTCAACAAAATCAGGACTACTGGCGAGCAAGAGCGGGACGAGCTGGGACGCCCTGGGAGGAATTCAATCATGAAATGGAGGTGTGATACTAAGGGAACGGTGAGCACATTAGCCTCATTAAAGTGCAGCCATCTTTGTGGTGCACTGGTCAATGAATAATTGCTTTCACTTTACAGTTGTGTTTTCCTGCAGCAGCGGCTCTGTACTTAGCAAAAGATGCCCAAAGTTAGAGACTGAGAGACCACAACAGCTCAGTGGAGAACACGGACAGCCTTGGTCCTTTCACAGGCCGTGGACTGTAGCAAGAAAGATACCCAGAAAGCAAGATATTGCAAAATCTAAAAAGTTGCTTGCTCAAAGCTGAAAGCAAATACACACTGTATGGTTGTGGTAATTTGTGATGTGCAGCAACTATCTGTGGTAATCTGGTTATCTGAGTGCTACAGTAAACTGCTCTGGTACTTTACAGTAGTTTGAGGTTTCTATCTAGGTATTCATAGTGATTTTTTCCATAATAAGTTTTCCAGCCTAGATATAGAGATGAGTGCTCAATGAGGAGAAACAAGAACAAGATTTTCCCGAGGAAATGACATTTTAAGCATGTGGGTCATCCAAAAGAGACCTTGTTTATAGGAGCTAGAAAGTGTCCTGGGTTAAGATGCATGAAAGGAGGGACAAAAAGCATTGTTTTTCAGGGAGGCACTAAATCTAAGGCAGGTATTAAATTTGCCACTCTATGGACTCTGTGGAGAGCTACGACCAGCTGGACTTAATCCAATAAATGCAGTAGAATGGGAATGTGGAGAGGAATTTGCTAGTGTAGAAAGGGGAAGAGGGTATCTAAGGTTGGGGTGTGAATTGCTGAAGGAGTAGGAACTGAAATTTAGTGTGTCAAGCTAAGGGAATACGAATAGAAAGTATGCAGCTTGCTTCTCGTACAGATATGCTGTGGTCAGCCTCTGTGGTGGAGCTCTGCTGGGCAGAATGTTGTAACCCTCTCTGAGAATGTTACTCCCCTTTGATCCCGGTGGTCCAGCAAGTTTTAATTCCACCTAACAGTCCACCATCCAGCCCATAGTTTCCTCACCTTTAAAATGACAACACTGTAAGAGACACTGACAAAAGCCTTGCTAAACTTAGATTACTCCTGCCACTCTCCCTGCACTTGCATGTCATCACAGGACGCAACCTCGGTCTAAGGAAGTGCTCTAACTGCTTTGGTATTGCATAAAAGAGAAATACTCAGGCCCTTCACGAAGAGAAAGAACATCTCCCTTCTGCATTATTTTCCAAAGTCTAATCCCATGGGCATTGAGCAGATGCACTCAGTGATAGACCCTGCCCAGGAGGATCACATACCTCGTAGATCCTGACAAGACTTAAAGATGAATTGACTGCTGGACATACGGATATTTTTAAGGTCAAACTGCTTCTGTACATGCTCTGAAGCTGAATATTAGGTGCCTGGAGAACCTCAATAATAGAAATTTTACTCCCTAGGGCAGAATGCTAAATAAACTTATATGAGTTTGTTTTAATTAAAATATTGCTGTAAGCTGTAAGCAATTTCTTTGGGTAATGATTCCCTGTACTGTATAATATAATGTAATGTCACATTGCTTTTGCTACATCTAGCTCAGCTAACTGGACCTTGGGCTGGTTCCTCCTTCCTATATGTACTCCGGCTGTCCTAGAATGGACATATTTATTCACTGTGTTTTTTTCAATTTGATGTTTGTGAAATAAAGCACAGACTGTCTCAGAATGGTGCTTTTGCATTACAAAATATGCATTGTCTGCTGTGGGACACAGAAGCAGGGCATCTGGAGTCGTATGAGGATACTGGTGGTGTTGGATGTTAAAAGAAAGGAAGCCCAGAGCTTGACATGAAACCAGTTCAGGTTTGGTGGGGGTTTTTTTTTGTTTTTTTTTTCAGATCCTGACTTATACTTTGGCAATGCTCAAACCCATAATGTAATGTTCAAAAGGCATATGTTCAGAAACCATAACATATGTTCAAAAAACTTAACAGTGTTCTAAACTACTGCTCTTTGATACAGAATTCCCCGGAGAATTCCTTCTGAATTGTAAGCAACTTGTCCTCTTATTTGTAAACCTCTTCTCCAGAGCCTGACCCCACAAACTGCTAGTGCTTTCTGTGTTCTTTGTTCCCATGAGTTGCACCACTCGAATCTAAAGCTCATCTTCGCAATTTAACACAAATTAAGGAAAATTAATATAAAATTAGAATTTAAAATATAGTATTTAAAATGCATTCAGCCCTTAACATTTCGAAGACCAGTGCCTTAATTCAGCTAGAACTTCAGAAGTGAAATAAATGGAGTCAGTTAAAGCTAATTCAATTCTAAGCTTGAATCAAAACGCATGGGAAAATTAAATGGAACTGATCCACTTTAAAAATTAGTTCAAATTAACTTGAGGTTTAGACAATTAGGATTCTTTGTGGATCTTAGTATAACACTCAGCAATATATTTCTCTGTGAAATAATAAGATCACTATTTCAAGTATACCTTCCAAACTCTAGAAAGTTCAGACAGAAATGAAAGCAACAAAACCCAGGATATATTTATAGCTAGCATAATTTTTCTGATAGTAACAAAGTTAACAAAGGCCCCTTGGGCATATAAAAATATTTCCCATCCCATCTATTTTAGCAAGAATAAATCATAAAAGCTTCATAAATACTACACCTTTTTCCTTAGTATCTTCAGGCTCTCTGATATTATCCAGCTCATGGCAATTTTCAAATTTCAGATTAGCATATGTTATTTCTTCTGTCATAGCTGGTAAAAAAAGTCAGAACAAAAGGGTAGAAAAAGATCTAGAATTTGCAGCTCCTACACTAGGAAGAAAATCTACCCCTTCGCGGGGGTTTCCTCACACTGGCAGACACAAAGCAAGCAACAGAGTCATCATGATATGTGTGAGCTTCCTCAATCACAGTACTGACAAGAAGATGTTCCTCTTTCCCACATTGCTATGTTCTCTTTCTGCCTGTTTACCTCACTTCTCCCCTCCCTGATTGGCATATATTTTTTTCTGCCATTATTGAAGAAAACGCAGGCACTTTTGTAGAACGTTACTCTTTTCATTAAAACTCTTCTTCTTTTGGATAGATGGTGTTTAATTCCTGATTACATCAGGTTCAGGCTTGAAACACAGACTTGGAATTTTTTTTTTTTTTGTATAGCTTTGAGGCTGCATTTTAGTTCAGGCAGCTGTGTTCAGAGTCAGATTTGTGGTCACACTTTAATTTCTGTTTCCTACTGGAAGGTGCTGAAAGCAAACCAGAAGGTGGACTTGCATTTTAAAGCTGTGCTTCCTTAATTGTGCTCTCAACCAAAAGAAGCAAGCCCTTGTGCTTACTAGAATTATTCTTGACTAGAATATGTCAGGGTGTTGGCTCTTGCCTTCCATGTCACCTTCCCAAAGTGATTGTTTGGCCTGGGAGATCTGTCACCAAACTCGAAGGCTCTCTTGACAAAAGGCTACATCTCAGAAGAAATTTTCCTACACTCAGTTTTCTGGCATTAATGTTTTATGTCCATTTCTGGAATAATTGTCTTTATTCTTCATTTCTTCTCCAGATCTATGGCAAGAGGGAGAGCATACAGTAACACTCAGATTTTGAGACTGCATGATAAAGTGAGTCTTCAGGAAAAGACATTTCATGTATCTCCCTCACGGAGATGGACACAGCTGTAGAAATCACATTTCTTTGAGGGGAACAAACAATCCTACAGGGGAAAAGAAATGACGGGGAGACCTGCTTAGCCAAGGAGGGAGATATGTTTCATTGCATGAGAAACTGGTGACCTGCTCTATGTCCGTGTGCCTCCGGTGAGTCACGGCATTTCTCTGGAGAACAGCAATTCTTGGTTATCCTGGCAGGGCAGTGCTTTGCTGGAATATTGCTATTATCCCAAGAATTGTCTAGGGCAAATTTTGTAACATATAACAAATTTCGTAAAGGGCATAACAGACACCATGAGACAGGTTCATCTAGAGCAAGAACATAATACTTGGTTGATGCTGAAATAACTACCAGTGTTCCTACCTGGAGTAGAAAGGCAGACAGACAGACTTCTTCGTGAAAAAAGAAGCAGAATAGATTATCTGAGGAGGTTTATACCCCTCTTCGTGATGTTTTTTAACATTTCCACGGTTGTGAAACTTTAAATGTGCATGACGAAAGCAGGATGTGTGGAGTTTCTGGTAATTTTTGCAATTTAGCAAATGTGATGAATGGAACACAAATAGATTATGCACACACATTACTACCTGAGTGACCAGCGTGAGGCTTACATACACTATACTACCCTGTGTTAGGAGTGTAAAGCATTCTAAAAATGAGCAGGAGTATGAACTTACCCTCCTTTGTACTTCTGGGCCTGCATAACTGAGAGTTAGGCTTCCATTTTTCATTTTACAAAGAAAATTAATGAAACATTATTGTGTATATCAATGTTAAAATCAAAATGACTAATCTAAATTAATAAAAGCAGTTTAGAACTTTAAAATACTAGATCAGCTATGTAGATGGAACACTAAAAAAAACATTAAATACAAAATATCAAAAAAACAGCCAAGGTTTCCAGAAACTAAACTCTACTAAAAATCAACCTGACCTGTTTTGGGGGGTTTGGTTGTTTTGGGGTTTTGTTTTGTTTTGTTTGGTTTGGTTTTTCCACAAGTGTGCTTGTTTAGGGAAGTGTCATTGGTAAAACCTGGTGGTTGGTTTTGTTTTTTTTTTGTTTTTTTTTTTTTTTTTTTTTTTTTGTTGTTTTGTTTTTTGGTTGTTTTTTTTTTTTTTTAATACCTTAAATGATCCATCAGCTTTGTGCACCAAAATAATTCTGGAGCTTTTGAAAGTTCCACTCTACATCCTCTCTTAGGTACCAAATTAAAGGTTTTCAACTTTCAGAGGTTCTTCATTGACTTAAAGGAGGCAAGTCAGCAACCAGCACCTCTGAATGGTATGTTTTCATGTAGGCATTAAGATAAATAAGCATCTGTATAATTATATCCTTTTAATTTATTTATTGCATATTATAATATTTGAGTATTGCTCCAGACAATCAGAAATTATAACCATTTAAAAGAAACCGTAAGTTCTTAAATGAAGAAAGTAAGATAGAACTCTAACAGAAAACCTGTATAGTCATCCTATTGTAGCATGACTACTTGTCAGCTGAGAAGTGCTGTCTCTTCTTCATTTCTTAACTGACCTTTATATAGAGTGAGGAAACTTCTGGCTGTTGAAATATTAACAATTGGCATAAATGTGATAATTACAACAGGTTTTTGATCTAGGCGGCTGACTCCAACAAACTTCTGGACTCACAGGAAGAAGACCTTGTTGTTTATTTAGTTGATGCATAATTTATTGTGCTGCATCTCAAAATCCGCTGTGAAGATCTGGAAGGCTCCAAACGCTGTTTGCCAGTTCACAATGCTGAAGGTAAAGAGGAAAAAGATTTCCTGACTGAATCAAAAGCACAAAGTTCTTCTAATTTGTTGCAAGCAAATCTGGCTACAGTTCATCCTCCTGAAATTCTTAAGGAATGGAAAAATCAAAAGTGGGTGATATTCAGTAATGCAAATGGCAAGGCCACATATATGGGAACTGGTAGCCAGAACTTTCTGAATTAGAAAGGGCTCAGAAATAGAAGGACCTGGGCCTAGTAAGATTTCCTGTGAATATGAGTAGGAACTAGGAATATACTGTAGATATGAAGATTTCATTCCAGTAAACATCAGAGGAAGGGTCTAGGGCAAAGGCAGTGAAATTTAAGTGCTGGTACATAAAGCAGTAGTGACACCACATCCAGAATACTCTGCAGCATTGTTCTGATCATCAAACTTTAAGAAGGACCTGATCAGTCTGGAATAGGTGAAGTGATGGGCTGTCTGTAAAAACAGTCGGATATAGTTTCTGTCATACCTCAGGAGATTAAATGATCTTGCATTTTTTATCCTTGCTGAAGACAAATAAGGTTATTGTAGGAGAGTACTGAAAAATGTCTAAGAGTAAAAGATTATAAGCTAGTTTATGAATATGTTAAAGCTGCAAATTAGAACAAAAATTTTTTTACATAGGATAAGTGAAATTCTGTAATACCTTTCAGATGGGAGTATCTGTTATAATTCAACACTCCATGTAAGCTGATTTTACACTTTCATCTTCCCTTTTGGAAAAATCGGCCTTTTCTAAACTACAGATCAAGTTTTGTGAATCGCTACTGTACTCATAAAGCCCCATGCAAAGTCAGATATCATGGCTCGGATCCTTTCAATTACAAGTTTGTTTGTTTGTTTGTTTGTTTTTTTAAACTAAACCACAAACACACTATTACAAAAGTAAAAACAAGCAAACAAAGGAACCAAAAGAATCCTTAAACTCGAAAAGCCTGTAGCAGAATTAGCTGCATCCCTAAATCTCACAGCTGCTCATCTAGGCATGTAATATACCACAACTGAGGCAACATGTGTCTTCAAAAGAGGAAGTGAAATAAATGTGTGAGACCTTCTGGCATAGACTCACAGAATCATCTCGGTAAGAAAGGACTTTGAAGATCATCCAGTCCAACCGTTAACCTGGCACTGACAGTTCCCAACTACACCAGATCCCTCAGCGATACATCGACCTGACTCTTAAACCCCTCCAGGGATGGGGACTCCACCACTGCCCTGGACAGCCCATTCCAACGCCTAACAGCCTGTTCTGTAAAGAAATGCTTGGGCCAGCAAGCTAGAGTGAGTAAGACCAGAAAGCTGACTGTGCATAATGTCTCCTAAAACTCAACAGAACAGAAAAAAATTAATAGCACAAAATAGAAGGCCATGAGTCTGGAAGACTAATAGCTGAAAGGACTGCTTGGAACAATAATTTCATCTGCTGGAAATGACTGTGAAAGCTGGTCACAGGATGTATATGGACCATTTGCATCCTGTGAGCATGATAAACTTTGGGAAATGTGTTTCCTAAAAGAAACAGAGACAAGATGGGGCTCAGGCTCTGCTTCATCTGGAATCTTTTGTGGTTAAAGCATCTCTGGTCAGAAAAGACAACCCAAAACCATAGTGCAGAAAAAGACTGCACTGATGACTGGGATGTGAGGACTCTCTTACAGGAGAAAGACTGAAAATCTTGTCTCATTTAGTTTGGCAGAATGCCATCTGGTAAAGGAAATGGTTGGCTTCTTGTAGATAAAGAGGGGCTAAACATCGGTGGGAAATGAGTCATTTCGATCTGTGTGATCTGTCATCTTCTACAAAGACAGTGACTGCAGCTGGCGGAGCAGGAGAGGACACCCTCAGCTCTTCTTCCCACTCCCCATCATGGCACCACAACGTGTCATGAGCAGTTTATTAGAGTAAAATAGAGCCACCATTATTTCTGGTTTATTCTATTGCATAGAAAAGAAACAATGGTAGAAAGAGAGAGTTTCGGTCCTTTCTGCTAAGGCTGACTGTATTTCTGAACAGAGCTGAATAGCAAGAACATGCTTCCTGCTGCTCTTCAGCTCAAGTGGTCAGTTCAGCGAGCCTCAGACCCTGGTGCAATTGAAAGTAACCCTATTGCAAATTATCAAATGACTGAGGATGGGACAGGAACCTGCCTGGAGTGCAATCAGCCCTGACAGGGAGCAACTGCCTCCAGCTCAGGTTGCACTTGGCCTGACACAGCTGAGAGGGGAAGAAGGGGTCTACCCCTGAGGATGGGTGTGGGCTGTGAGGGGTGGTGAGGGTGAACATTTCTGGAAGAGCAAAGGGACCTTCATGTCCTTCTTGCACAGTCCCAAGGGGAGATATGAGACCATAACTGAAAGAAAATTAGTTTTTCTAAT